AAAGGGCCTGCTTGTAAAAAATGTGCAGGTCAGTGCTGTGTTTGACCTTCCAGTTTTTTTTTAAATGAGATTGAGTCGAGCGAAGTTGAAACCTCACTCAGTGTTTGTTTGCTTGATTTATTTGGAAGGTTGTTAGAGGAAGCAGCACTCTGTCTCAGTTCACCAATTCATTCACAAAAATGTTTCCACATATTGGCAGGCTCTGCAGACTTTACATTGACTTACATTTATTTCCTGGATACTTACTGTAACAATATGCACTGCTTTCCTAACACGTAACCTTAAACCAAGTTGTCACCCTAAAATTCAAAGATTTACATGATACCAGAGAGAGTGAGAGAGGGTGAACAAGATTCAGTCCCCACAACAGGAGTAACACCAGGTTCACACACAAAAACACACAGAGTGAAAGTTTGTGTTCACTGCAAAGCAGAAAAGATTTGTCCACTGTTCCACACATTTCACCATGCACGCATTTGTCACAGGGCAAATCTTACAGCAAGCAGGTCTGCGATTCATCATCCTTCTCTCATACTCAACAACAGCTTCAGTTTCCCACAACACCTGACAGGCTTCTCTGTCTCATTCGCATTGTTTGTTCTATGATGTCTGCTTAATTAGCTTAGCTGCACTGAAACAATAAAACCTTCTGATGAAAGATGAGCAGATGTTCTTGAAGTCAGCATTTTGTAATTCAATGGAAAATCACTGCAGTTACAGGTCTTCACTGCTTTAGATATGATTTACTTATCATTCTAATAAATTCCCATAAATAGAAAAAAACAGTGTAATGTGAGGTGATAGTATAACTGTGTTGAACTGACTACTAATCATTCCTAAGTTTACTTTTCATTAGCAATGATAAAACCAAACAGCGGAAAGCGGGCTGTGTATTTAGAACTGATGGAAAAAAGAGTTTGTCCTACTGCAGATGAGTGCAAAGGGTAGACAGTCAGTTTCTCAATAAATCTGTGACATTCTGAAAAGAAATGGGAGTCTTTCACATCCTTGTTCACCTGCTCGGCCCTTCTCTTCAGCCATAGAGTAGCATACTGATCTTAGTGGAAAGAGCAAAGGATGGTCTGGAAATTCTGCATTATTCCACGTTTCTCCTCATTTCCCCTTTCACAAGGTTTAAGCTTCAGGAGATCAAAGGAAGCAAGAGAGAGATGAATAAACACCACAATGTGTGCACAAAACAGAAGGGATGATGAATCCAAGACAGAAAAGAAGGATGGAACAGAGAATGACTGACAGAGATGGGTGAAGGGGTTTCTGTTTTTTTTTTTTTTGGTTTGTTTGTTTGTTGTTTTTTTTTGTGTGCAGATGTTTGCTTTCTCTGAGCAAATTACTGGAACCAAACACACAGAAATGGGGAATAAAAAGCCCTACAAACAGGGTCAGATCTCCTCAGAACTATTAGAGGGAGAACGTTCTATCTCTGGTCCCACAGGGAAAATCTTAAAACAAGAGCACTCAGCGCTCTGCATGTACCTCCACAAGGGCACAACATTCACTCACTCAAATGGGTCCCTGGTGAAAAATGAGATGCAGAACAATACCAAATGTGTCCTAAAATCCTCGATCCAGATAGGAGCCAGATCATCTTTTAGGGCCTGATAGGCAGTTATACTGTGCATCTTACCTGAACATTTCAGGGCTTTATCTTCATTATAGGACAAGTTATGGCAGAAAATATGTGTTAAATGGGTTTTCAATATTAACTTTAAATGGCCATCAGATGCGGAATCCAGATCAGATCTGGATGAAATATATACTGTACATGTGTCAAATTTCATACAAAAAAATGGTTTGGATAACTTCCGATGGAAATGAGAAATAAACAAAAAATTGCCCCATGTTAAAGATGGGAATTTTTTTTGTGTGACACACACAGAGAACCAAAAAAGTCCTCGGCAGTCGTGACTAAGACGGAACAGAAGTTTCTTTTTTCTTCTGTCACTGTCAGGTTTGCTCGGCCGCTCTGGCCTCCCTCACCTTTCCTACTGTCTCTTGCCCATTAACACTAATCACGTTCACCTGTTCCTCACTCCCTTATCACCAGCTGCACTTGATTATTGTTTTGTATGTATTTATCCCCTAGCCAGCTACTGTTTTGTGTTTCCCCGATGGACTGTTCCTCCGGACCGTGACTCCACTCTCTCCTCCCAGGCAGGTCAATGCTCAGTCGTCTATCTGTTCTACTATTGTCATCATCTCTCTGTCTCCACCTTCAGTAGCCACCATCACCACCGACCAGCCCAGGAGTGACCCAGCCTACGCAGCTCGGCCCAGCTCTCCATCTCCTCACCTCCTACTGTTGGTCAACACCCGGTTACTACTCATCGACAGGACTACGCACTATTTCCCTCTGTGTATTGTTACTCCCTTCATCACTGTATATAATAAATCACTGCATGCATCGAAGTCGGCTACCTGGGTCCGCCCCTTTCTCGTTCGCTCACTGACAGGTGCGAACGGCACATAACAGAACGAACTGGCCAACATGGATCCTGCCGGCTCCGGTGCAAGCGGTTGGTCATCTCAGTCATCTCAGGACGCACGCATGGACCAGATGGCTCAGGCA